GTCCCCCCCTTGCACCCGCAGGTGATCCCTACCCGCAGCCACCAACGTGCCCAGCACGTATCCCCCATAACCAGGCACATCTTTGGGCTCCTAGCCTGGCTTGGGCACAATTCTGCGCACGTGTCTCCCCTCCCAGCTACCCTTAGATCATCCCCAAAGTGCTGCCCACCAACCCCCAGACACCCCTCCATGCCATTCCATACCCATCTGGTCCCATCCCAGCCATCACACCCGGCTTATAAACCTGCCGTGCACACGTATATAGGGATCTTAAATGGATTCTGGATGAGTTTAGAGGTGTAAAATAAAAAAACCCAACCAAACCCACCCCCTCAATGGTAAGAAACTCCGCGGGCATTTTACGCCCACCTGCAGCGTGCGGGGCAGGGGGTCACTTTGGCACCACAGTGGTTTTGCAGCCAATGTGTGCGCAGAGGGTGCTCGGGCAGCGAGAGCTGGAGTCGTTGGGAAAGGGGTACCCGGAGCTTGGCCCATCTCTGAGGGCTCGAGATGCTCCGAGTGGCGCAAAGCTCCAAAGGAAAAAAAACAAACCCCAGCGGAAGAATTTCAGGTCTGCCACGTTATTGTTTGGGTCTGCTTTTCCCGGGTGCTGAGCCGCTCTCCGAAGGGGATTTGCTGAACGGAAGCAGGAGGAGCGTGTCGGGGGGAGCAGAGATGGCTGTGATGGGAGCCCAGAGCGGGGCTGGAGTGGGACCAGTCTGCACTGGGAGCTCCCCACTTCCTTCTCGCTGCTTACGCACTCTTCTGGGCTGTATTTCTCCCTCTAAAATATCAGTGTGGTTTTGCAACGGCTTAAAGAGAACTGCTTTGGCGGAAGGGGAAACTGAGGCACGGGGCAGCGCAACCAACCTACATGAGCACAGCCCGCCCAGTGCACCTGGTTAATGCAGGGAACTGGAGCCGGAGTCACCATCCAGCACTAGGATGCTCCAAGACCCGTGAGCATCTCTGCGGGTGCGACGTCGGTGGTGCTGGGGTGACTGAAGTGGGGTTCCTTTAATATTGCCCCGTTTCCGAGTCTCCCCCTTCCTTTTCGGAGCGAAAGAGGTGCTGCCGGCCGCCGGGATGCTCCGGAGCAGCTCTGCTCGCCGGGCCTTGGCAGCAGGGGGAAGGAGAGCGGTCCCAGGCCGCGGGCGGAACCCCTCTGCCCCCATCGTGCGACAGCCGTGCCAAGCGTCTCCGGGGCTGAATTGCTCCGGTCTTTGCTTCCCGCAGCCCCTCGGGCCCTGACTCAGTTGCCTCCCGGCAATTTCCATCTTTCCCTCCTTCCAGCACGTCTCTCTCCCGGCACCTCCCGAGCTGGCGACTGCGGGAGCGTGTGGTTAGAAATTCCCTCCCCCAGTTTTTAGCGTCTTTTTTTCCCTTGTGGCATCGATGCCCACGGGATCTTGCCTCTGCGTTTAGTCCAGTCTTGGAAAATTTGGTCCCTGTCCCACCTGAAGTGTAAAACTCTTTTTTCCTCCCCATGGGAAACTGCTCAGGTTGTGATTTTACTCCTACTTCCAAACTCTGCTTACTCGGAGCTCCTCCTTATTTTTCCCTTTGCAGCCTGACTTGTGGGGTTCCCGACCTCACTTCCATTGGGATTTCCAGGCTAGTGACCCCCTGTATGCTCCTGGGTTTTTTTTGGGAACACCCATCCCAAGCTGTCGAGTGCATGTTGATGTCACGTAGATCATCAGCAGGTTCTGGAGGACTTGTTTGGTGGAGCTTTTGGTGCTGCATTGGTGGCCACCGGGTATATAAATAGATTTTATTTTATTTTTAAGACAGTTTTGAAAAAAAAAACAACAAACCCAACAACTTGAGCTTGGAGCAGAGGCCAAAGCTGAGAGAAGACGTGTCAGGTCAGATCTTCAGCTGGCACAAAACTGGAGCAGCACTTTGGGGGTTGGGGGGACGCTGGGTGGCACCGCTGTGAACCTGGCTCTCCTATTTTTAGAGGATGTTTTTGCTCCTGGGGCTAAATCAGCTCTCACCTACCCGGCTCGTACAGCAGAGCC